ATATATATGTATATATATATATATACATATATATATATATACATATATATATATATATATGTATATATATATATATGTATATATATATATATATATATATTGCCTTTGAGTAATATTCTCCTCCATCCACTTCCGCAACATCTGAAAGAAGTATTTACTTTCCCTATTTTAGATATGACAACACTAAAAATAAAAATTTGGTGGCTAAAATTGATCGTATAAATAATTTATCTCCCAATGATGATCACTACAGATGTCTGCAGAATGAAGCAGCAAACTTGATGTACATGGAGTCAGAGATGTTGATTTCTGTCCAGCATCTCTTATATCCAGAGTGGAATGGAGACGACTCAATCTACAGTTGGATCTCCAACTTTTCGGCAGAGTAATTAACTGGTACCGCCTTCAAAGTTTTGCTAGGACCAGCGACAGCTATCAGTGGCATTAAAGAACAGGATAGGAGAGATCCAAAGCATGGATAAGCTTGAAGGTTGGTTCAATTATTGCCTCTCCCTGATCTCAGTCTTGTCTCTCCACACATTATGAGTGCAAAACAAAAAACTCCTCTTGAGATCAAGATGGATCATCTATGCTACATATAATGCAGTCTACTCTGCCACGAGATCATTCTCCCACTAATGATATGGTCAGCTGACAATGCATGCTTGATTAAGAAGACAGCTATTCTTGGTCAGTCAAGTAGGATCTCAAGAACGAGTGACAACCTGTTTGCAACTTTCATGCATGCATTGAAAACCTCATCACCAAATGCCAATATAGGGATTGAAGAAGAAGAAGAAGAAGAGTAGTTACTGCCAAATTAAATGTACCACATACAGGAGTGGGTGACAGAAAGAAAGAAAATTAGTAAGGCTAATCAGCATCGAAGGAGGGGTTGATTTAATGAAATGAGGTGTGAGTGGGTCATTGTTGATGTCATATATGTGCTGGGAGCAGAGTTTTAGACTTTGCAGACCTGTAGCCTTTCATCAAGCCATTGGTTTTGGCCCTAGGAAGAACAAACCTCTGCCCACTAGCTATTTGATTTATTTCTCTGGAACATATAGTTTTAGTAGGAATCACGTGCATGTAATTGTTTATTCATAAGAGTTTTCATGGGAAGCTGCAAGGACTTATTTTTGCGTCGTAGGCTCGATAATTTAGGTTACTCAGATGAGTAAGTATTTAAATCAAACTATGGTTTGATTGAATGGAAATGAATCCCAATTCTCTCTCTCTCTCTCTCTATCTATCTATCTATATCTATCTCTGTATAATAATAATAGTTTCGAATCGTGGCTCACTCCTCTCCATCTCTCTCTATCTCTGACTCTTCGACTGTAATCCGTGTCCTGGCTACAGCCATCAGCTCTGTTCTTCCCACTTTATTCTCTGCTCAGTTATCGTGCGGTTAACGAATTCGAACTCCAAGAGACACATGAACGGCGCAACGCTATCCGAACTCCCAAGACTCGTGTGTGTCCGTCCCAGCGATCAAACACGGGAGATCGTGGCCCATCCCCATTGGTGAAGGGCAGATGCTGGCTCCGCCACGTCCTTGTCAATCGGCGAGCCCGCAGCTGCTTCACCAATGGAATGATTGTGCTTCTGTGTTTGGTGCCTTTCCGCACGCAGGAGCCACTCTCCGAGTTTCCTGTTTCCCGAGGGGAAAAGACGAGGGGCCCCATCTCTTTGGTCCGTGCGATCTCGAGTCCCGTCGCCACTGCTCTCTCGACGCGTGTCCCTATTTCCGTGGGGCGCTCTCATCCCGGTCTTCCAGTTACGGGGTCCGTCTCCGCTGTGCCACTGTTGTCCCCCGCATTCATCGCCACGTCAAACCTTCAATCGGGTTCGTCCAATCCCCAGATCATCCACATGCCCTCGCCCATCCGACGGTACACATCAAATCGTCAGAAATTACGATATGCTATCTGGTGGGCCAATAAACAACTACGGAAGATCGACTCATGTTTCCTCTCAGCCTTTAATGGGCTTCAGAGTGGGTTAGCGGATTACTAACGTACTCCGACGGAGCACCAGAACGAGCTTACACGTAGTGCATGGAAAATCTGAGAACCTGGAGAGTGGCAACATCGTGGATAAGCCTCCTGGCGAAGGGCAGATACGACCAGGAAGCAAAGAGAGAGTGAAAGAAGATCACTCTATAAGACCCCCTCGCCACGCCATGAAAGCTTAAGATAACAAAGGAGGACCGATTTGTTAAGGATAATTGAGACGGGGGGGCAAAACGAAAAAAGAGCTCGCTTGCAATCATGGCAGGGCGAAGGCAGCAGCAGGCCATGAAGCACGCGGCGCACCGCCTCTTCGCATCACCGGCCGCCATCGCCGCCTCCGGAACAGACGCCGACGAGTTCGACGAGTCCGACGTCTGGGGATGCCCTGTCGAGCCGCGCCGCGCCGAGCTGTCCAAGCTGGTGCCCTCCCCTGCGTGGAAGAAGAGTGACCCCGAGGGAGGAGATCGCACCGCCGCCTCCTCTCTGCCGGTGGAAATACCGGACTGGCCCAAGATACTCGGAAACTGCACCCGAAGCAGCCACAGCAGCACCAGGGGTTGGTGGGAGGAGCAGGCGGATGACGACGACGAGGGGAGCGCGGCGGCGGGGCAGGTGGTCCCGCCTCACGAGCTGCTGCGGCGGGGCCTGGTGGCCTCGTTCTCCGTCCACGAGGGAGTCGGCCGGACCCTCAAGGGCCGCGACCTCAGCCGGGTTCGCGATGCCATATGGGAGAAGACCGGTTTCCAGGACTGACATCTGACTTCCACCATGAATGCCACTCTATCTTGTCTTCCCTTAGCGAGAAGAAATGCAAAGAGACACAGAGAAAATGGAGAAATCATTGTCTTTTTTGCTTGGTTTTTGTCACCAAAAACAAAGAATCTCTATAAATATAAAATGATTGAAGAATATATGGATTTATTATATTCTTTTCTTTCTTTGATGAATTAAAGTGAATTTAAAATATGGATTTCGCAGATCCCATTGCATTTTGGATTTCTAGTCTAACATGAATGTTTAAATCGATGACACTGCAAATAAGTAAAGGCTTGATGACGACTAGTGGATTTGCAGGCAGGACTGCCATCTATAGAATGAATTCCACTACTTGTTTGTGGATAAGATGACGGTTCTAACATATAGCAAATCTGTTCAGTCTTGACGAGGGACAGACTAAATTAGTCTTTTATCTTATAGAATAGGATTGAGGACATTTATGACGAACAAAACCAGAGGGTGAGGCCAAGAAGGAACAGATAAAAATTGGCCATGGTGCTATAGATCCTATGAAATAAGAACAGGAATAGTATAACAGTCGTGGAAATAGCAGGCATATGTTGAAATTATGGGATTGTATTGGTGTGGAACAAAATAAGCAGAAAAAGGAAGGCACTAAAATTATCTTGATCATAGAATCTGAATACGTGATGCATGCCTTCTTTCCATTTCTGATGATCTTATAACGAGGCTTATCTGCAAAATAAGCTCATCTTTGCGTGTCTTTTCTGGAAACTGCTATCCTTGCCTCGTCAAAACCAGACATAAGACAAGTATTCCTCTTCCAATACATTATTGTTATGCTTCCTGATGTGAATCACATACTTAAGAATACTTAACAATATTGTTAGGTTTCAGAGTTAGTTTCAAGTAAGCTGCTTTATGTATATATAGATAGTTGAATCAATTCTCTCATCAAGAAAGCAGCTCTAAGAGTGATGGATTTATGCTTGATGGTGAGTGCCATGTGGAATATGGAATGGCTTTTGGAGTGATCGCTCTAGTTAGCAGAAAATGCCACGCTATCAGTATTCTTATTCCTTCACCGATCTTTTTTTGGTGAACACGGAGGTCTTGAGATATAGTCTCGCTGTCAAGCAACTGGCACCGAGAGAGAGAGAGAGAGAGAGAGAGAGAGCATGGACACAAGAAAGCAGGAGGAGGCCCACAAGGCTGCCGCCGTCGCTCTTCAAGAAGACAAGGCGAGAGATCCGAGTGAGGAGGCGTCCACCTCAGGAGATGGCCGTAAAAGGTGGAGGTGATATTATTGTGGTAGGTAGGTAACGGATGAGATGAGAAGAAGCCATTCAAATCCCTCATCAGAGTTCCTGTTCTTGGATTATTCCTTCGTATATGCCGCCTGCATGCAAACACAAAAGGAAGATGAGTTGTGTCTTGCTCAGCTTCCTTCTTCCTCCCCACCTGATATGCGATTTTGCAATGTGCACCCTTCGTTTACACGATCATTCTAATCTTATAAACCAATTTGAATGTTGCTAATCAATTATTGTTGATCTATTATGCTTGTGCAATTTTTTTTTCCAAGAAACAATTGAAATATTCTATTAAAAAAAGAT